TAAAAGCGGTCATCTGCCATATAACGCTCCGGGTCTCTTGGTAATTTGATATGTTGTGGAAAGGGTGGTAATTGCGCGCCTGTCGTTTATGATTGCACTTTCGCATAATAACATAGGATCAGCGTTGATTTACGATGTGATGAGCACGGATTTGACCAGTTTGCAAATGAAAATGTTGTTGCAGCGTGTATTCAGCGCATTCAAATTTCTTCTGTTTTTCAATGAGTCAAAATCTGCAACTCTACCCGAAACTCGTAGTAAATAATGGTTCACAAACTTTGAGACTCGTGATATCTCAGCAACCAAAACAGTAATCAAAAAGTAGTCAACTACGTACAAGTAGCTCACATTATGTTGGATATTTTGTCAGTTGAACAGTTCTTGATTACTGCTCTAGCTATCGAGATATACTCAATCTAGCAAAACCTATGTTTTCCACAAGCAATTTCAACAGGATTTTCCATAAAGGTTTGTTGCTTTTTCAGAAGCTAATTTATCTCGACAGCTAGAGCAATAATCGAGAAGTGTTCAACTATCAAAATGTTCAACATAATGTGAGCTACTTGTATGTAGTTGACTACTTTTTGATTTCTGTTGTGGTTGCTCAGATATCACGCGTCGAAAAGTCTGTAAATCATTATTTAACACAATTTACGGGTAGAGTTCAAGATTTTGACTCATTGAAAAACAGAAGAAACTTGAATATGTTCAATACATGCGGTTACAAAATTCTCATTTGCAAACTAGTGAAATTCGCATAAAAAGAGGTCAAGTTTCAGAAGATTGGGAGGAAAACAGGAAATTTACCATAAGCCGTTTAGCACTGGTAAATATATATCCAGACTGGAAAGAATATATCCGCGCATCCAGATAACCAAGCTGTAGCTGTTTTAGTAATGAATCAAACTATCTTTTTTGACTTCCAGAGGTTTTGGAAAAACTTATTTCTTCGAAAATTTACCATCAAATAAGTGGCTTCATAATTATGTCGCATCGTACTAGCTATTTTTATCGAAACACCCGGCTTTTTTAAATACGGAGATGAGATTTCGAATCAAACTACGGTAAGAACTATAAAAGAAGCACGCCCAGTTCGACATTTTCAGAGTACTATATCTCGGCGTGGTATAAAGTTATGAAATGAAAATGTGGTCAACTGAAGAAAACTCAATCAAAACATTTTCAACATTTCCTTAGTTGAAAACAGTTTGATATTTCGGAAGACAATCGAGATATAGTGCTTTGATTGTGTCGTATATAGTTTTCACGGTAAATTAGCTTTTTGAAGGTCAAGAAGGGTATATACACTGCCCGACAAAACCATAGGTCCACTTTGTTTTCTGTGATTTCTCGGCCTAGAAGGCAATTCTAGAAACTAGTCTAATGCCAAAATATGACACTCATAGGACCTCTAAATGGGCCCCTTAGTACCACTGAATAACTCTCTTCGTTAAGAAAAAATATCATTTTTTGTGAAAAATGACCCTCCGTCGACGCGACAAAGCCATAGGTCCACCCTAAAAACGAGAAAACGGGTCATTTCCACGTATAGGGATACGTGAAAATCGGAATATTTTCTGCTAATTTTATGAATTTATCAAGTTTTTAGGGGTTCGAATATGGTCAGTTATTTATAAAATTTTTGAAATTTTCCATTCCCCAATATCTTGAAACCAACGATGGTCGAAAGATGGCAAAACATCAGTTTATCAGATTTTTCGCCTCCTATTCCGGGTGGCATATCTCGTTTGCGGTTCGAGTAATCAAAAAATGTTCAACTGATAAAATACGCATATCAACACGTAAAAAATGTACCCAGTTGACAACTTTTTCATATCTTTCACTACAACAAAGATATGCCCGATCTAATTCATGAGCTTTTACTGAAGGATCTAACTCCATTTTGTGCACATCAGATTAAAATGATAAATTCCGAATGAAATCATTCTTTGTTAACGTTTTCAAATATTACACGGACGTTTCAACCTTTTTTCCGACATAGAAAGCCAAAAATACCGAGGTTGTTCTGATTGTAGGCAAATTTGTAGAAAATGATAATAAAAATTAATAAAATCGAAAAATTGGAAAAATAAAAATAAAAACTCGAAAAAAATTGCAAGAAATCGAAAGAAAACGGACGACCTCTTTTCTTAAGTCTGGAGGGTGGCCCCCTAAATGCAAACGCTGACGGCCACGGCCACCGTGTCCCCAACCCCAAATACCGCCGTATTCACAATACTTTACTTTTTTGAAACTGATCTCACTTGAAATACCAGCAAAACAGAAGTGGCTTCATAATTATGTCAAGCAGTGTACTCATTGTAAAATAAAAATGAATAACTTTTATTGTTATTGAAAGCTGAGATAGGAAAATAGAGTAAAGAAACAAGAAATAGTTTATTTTGAGCGAATTCCCAAGAAGAAATTATGCTGCAACGCTGCTTCGGAAGTCAGCCTCTTTTTAGGATCAATTGTCAACATTTTTGTCAGGAGTTCATGAAATTCTTCAGCATCAGGCTCACTCATCGAGCATTTCTTCTTCAATTCATCTGGAGAAATTGAATTAGTGAGTAATGGCTTCTCAATCAAAGCTTCCTGGTTTCCAAACACTTCTTCGTAAATCTGTACGTTCTCATTATTCATTTCAAAGTTATTCCTCTTCACTGGCCCCAACAATTCGGAAATTTTGCAGAGGTACCATTTGTGATCACAGGTTATTCCTCTAATGGACGGAAACAGCATTCTCCTGGTGGCCATCTCGTACATTGTGCAGCCTACCGACCAAATATCAGCTGCCGGAGTTATTTGAGCCTTCAAAAAAGACTCTGGTGCTCTAAAGGGGCTGGTCTGTACGGTCCTTCTTACAACCTCGCTGGTTCTAGCAGAGGTTCCGAAATCTCCGATTTTAAGCCTTGCGGAGCAGTGTGGATCCGATAGATCCATATTCTTGGGATCCAGCCTAAGCAAACAATTTTCAGGTTTCAGATCAAGATGCATAATTTTGCAAATCGAATGTAGGAAATAGAGTCCTTCCAGGATATTTTTCAAAAATCTTTTGATCCGGTGCAGGGTTAACACTTTTTGGTTGGAATAACGCAGAATAGTAAAAAGGTCCGGTCCGAGCGATTCCATTACCAAAACGGCATGTATGCCATGGGAACCTGTGAACTTAAAATCGCCGAGTAGCCACAGGATATTGCTAGAGCCAACTGGCGGCTCTGAGGATACACTTGATTTTAAGACTTCTTTAGCTTCTTTCAATAACCCGATCTCTATATCCGCTGCAGAATTAAAAAAATTCTCCACTCCGAACAATTTTCAATGCTACAGTACGTTTTGTATGTTTTTCTTCTGCAAGGTGAACCGAACCATACGATCCAGAGCCAACCATTCTTTTGATTTTGAAGCGGTTTCTCAAGATTTCTCCGTCTTCCACTGGGCAATAGCCTTCTTTGCCGAATTTAATATCACGAATTTTGAAGGGAAGTGTTATAATCTGAAAGAAAGAATTTAAAGAATTTAAATTATAGGAAACAAAAGATTACAAGTTAACTCAAGAAGTGTATTTTTAACGGAATCAAAATGCAAAAAAAATCTTAGGCGAAATTTGAAGCGTGAAAGTTCAAATAATCCGAGTAGTTCTTACCAGGTCAACCTTCTTTTTAGCCCTTTTCTCTGGTTCTGAGGTAGACATCTCATCAAAGGTGAGCAGCGCATCGGGCGCTCTTTTCCGGGATTTTATCGACTTACCAGCATCTTCTCTAGAAACTGTTTGTGCTGGCCTTATGTTCTCCTGTTCCGGAGTGCTGCACCTCCTCCTGTTGTGGGCTCAAAAACATATCAAAATGAAGATCTGGATGAATTCTGCAAATCTGAAACGTTAGAATCACGGTTTGATCAACCTGGGCCCTACTAGACATGATGGAGTGTCCCCCGAAAAACCCGGGCCCGGTCACTCAAGCCTATTCTGTTTAGCTCATATTGATCGAACGGGGACTCTAAGTTTTCGAACTTGTAGAACTCAATGAGATTCTTATTTTGATACGTTTTTGAATCCACGACTACGATTTTGAATGGAGTTATTGCAGGACCCCGTCCTCCTTCTCCTCAACCAAAACCTACCGTTAATTGGTTCCTCTCGTCTTTTTCAGCCAACATGCTACGATTTCCATTGAGTGACATTGGTACTTTGAGATGTGCTGAGATAGGACCTGAAAATAGCAAATGTGCAAAAAGAAATGAGGAATTGGCAAAAAATGAAGTTGAAAGATCCAAAAAGACTAATTACACAAAGCTCATTGAAAATCACTAGAAGTCAGCCTGGGCGTTAAAATCAATAAATAAAACTGCACTCGAAATGAAGAGAAGAGTGGGGTACTAGGCAGGGCCACATTTCTCACAATGAGATTACTCGGTCGATGAACAATAGGGATCCTGTGTCTGCGTTTCAAAATGGGCATACACTATTTTTCCAAAGGTCATGTTATCTTGATGTGAGATGGTTCATTCATTGAAAAAGTTGAGTGTACTAACGAGAGAAGATGAGTTCTTGGGTAGTTGCAAAAAAGCGATTTTGTGGTAGGATGTTATTTCGGATCGATGAAGATAATGAGGTCTGCTTTTTTAAAAACACACGGACTGTCTTGTTGAAGAGGCCGTGTGACAAAGGTTTGCTCAGAGATAAAATATTTTTAGTTCTGTGTCACTTTCAGATAATTTTACAGAGATGCATAGTTACAACTGTTTGATTTGTTGAGTTTAAACCATTTTCAGATCCAATAACATTTCTTTTAAAACTCAAACATGAAATCATGATGTTTCTCGTCATACATCAATATTTATAATTCTTCGAGAAGCTTTCAAACATTTACTGTCTAAATTTTACACATTCCTAATTAAACACTTTGACTCTTTTTCTATATCCCAACTACCTCATACCTTTAGGTCAAACTTTCTTCATTCTTCCGCCTAGCCAATTGATTTCTACATCCTTCCACTCTGGAAAAATGGCCGAGCGGTGCGAAGCGCTGGTTTAAGGTTCGAGCTCATTTGAGGGCGTGGGTTCAAACCCCACCCTTTTCAGTACGTGGTTTCATTTTTTTTTTCAATTTTTTTGATATTCTTCCCTTTTTCATTTTTGCTCTTGCTTTGCAATCCCTCAAAAATCATGTTTAGTTAAAATTTATTTCTTATCAAGCTAAATGTAAAAAAAGAAGCGAACAAAGAAATTCAGGCGAAAAATAAGCAGAAATTATAATAAAATTGTGGAATTTGATTAGAAAACATGCGAAAATTGACAAGCAAATTGAAAGAAGTCGATAGAATTACATTGAGCGAATCATTGCCAGAGGGGGCCATAGAGCGTTTTCTCAAGAAAAAGCAGATAAAAAAAGAAAAAAAGAATTATAGATTAACATAAATCTTGCGGTGGAGGCAAACTTTACATAAGAGCCAAAAGTCTTGACGCCACATCTGGAAAGTTTGCTTCAAGCATTCTTCTGAAACTCGGGTTTCTCATCTCAGCTCGGACAATATCTGCTATCTGAAATTAAACAATTTTTTTTGGAAAACAATTGTTTGATAACTCACTTCTTTGTCGATTTCAGCTTGGGAGCGCTGCATTCGTCCAGAAGTTCTTGTGCTGGAGATAGAGTTTGATGGAGAATGAATGGAAATCGACTCCGCGAAGTTCCTTGGCAGATCATAATAATCTACAGACGCAAAGCTCCTTCTATTTGGGAACTCGGCATTGAATCCTCCCGGGCGAGCAATTTGAAGTGGTGGTGGCGGTGTGTGCTGGCTTTGTGGTTGGTTGTGGTTTCTGAAAATCAGCGATATAAGATTCACTTTTCACAAATTGGATTTCAGATTTAACTGATTTAAAGGAGGCCTGTCACTAAAAAAAATAGGTGAGATTTTTACATCATCGGATAGAGCTCACCGAGTTACATCGAAAAGTTTCTTATCATTTTTTACGAAAATCACGTTTAGGTCACGTTTTGGGGCCTCAAATGAGGAGCTTTCGCGTGGCTCTACACGCGAGAAAAAACTGTCGCGTGGGGAGTACTCTTCAGAAACTAGCTCCTAACTTTTAAAGGAAGCGTTTTCATGAAAAATGATCAACTACAAAGTTGTTTCTCATGTAATTTGTAACAACTTTCTAGTACTTCATTTTTTAATGTCATGGCTAGTTTTTGAGATATGACCTACAGAAGATGAAGTTTGAAAAATAAAGAGATTTTCTGATGTAATTAGGTTGCAATTAATATTAATTATTTTGTTTACAGTTTCAAATTTAACCCAGTTGATCTCATGTTTTT